TTCTTCCTTTTTTATCCCTCTCTGTCTCGCTCGAACGCAACGGCAACCTATTATCTCTCTCATTTATCGCGTTTTCTCTGTTCTCCTCTCCTTTTTGCCGTGCAGCCTCGTCCTCTTCCCGACGCGCTTCTCTCTCGTTCTTCACCCTTCGTCTTTTATATATAATACGCGAGCCAGGGGTGTGCGTCCTTCTCTTTCCACCTCGCTCTTTTCGCTCCAGCATCCGTTAGCTTTGTCCTCGTCCCTCCACCGCCAGCTCGCTCGTTCTTTCCTGCTCTCGGCCCCCCTCTCGTGCACTTTCATGTCCCTTTTCGTCGGTTCCTTTTTCTCCTGTTGCGAACAACACGCACCTCGACCCTCGGCCACGCACACGTACCACGCGTTGACGCCCAAAAAATTTGACCTTTCATATAAATTACTCGCGACATTGCGGCCTCCGCGCCGAATCCTCCAGCGCGTTTTTCGTTATCGGCTGGATATTTGTGTTACGCGCGTCGTGATCACGACGAAATTGACCTGGTACGGGATCGTAAAAATTCGCAAATATTTTCCAATTTCTTCTCGTTTTTCCCTTTTCGGTCCCGCGAGAGTCGAAGGCGCCATCCCGGCAAGCTTTGCGCTATCGCAGATTTGGCTAACTCCGGTCAACTCATCGAATGATTCCGTGGCTGTCGGGTGATTATTTCGATAATTTCTTGGGCTGTCCCGCGAACGGGGAAAAAATAAGACTGTGAAATGGGAGAGACATCATCGGCAGGACCGTGGCGATACTAAAAAACCTCGGTCCTCGCTCGACCACGTTCGCCAAGCAGAGGGGTTGTAACCAAAGAACTTTTCGGCGGCTGGTCGTGCTCCGCTCGCCCGGAGCGATCTTTCTCGATATCTATTTTTAGTAAGAAGCGTCCAAGACCAGACGGTGGTGATTACAAAATTGCAGCAGCGATTGGTCCGTGTCATTTTACCGCCACAGGCATGGGGGTCGGGACAGAGGGACAAGAAGAAGAACAAGAGGAATACGAAGAAGAGGAAGAAGTAGGAGAAGACGAAAGAGTAGCAGAAAAAGACGTCAACGACGAGGACGAACAGGAAGAACAAGAACCGCCATCACCGGCAGCAGAGGAGGAAGATGAAAAACTGACAGAGAGCGAAACAACAATGACGTCGCCGGGAAAGAGACAAAGTCGCGTCCAAGAAAAAACCGTGCCCATCGTGCCTTAAGAAGAACCAAAACTCGTGCAGAAAACTACCTAAAGAAGACGAGCAAAGAAACAACGCCGAGGATCATCTCGGAAGGAAAACAGAGTTTGGGTAGCGGGGGTACGCAGGTAGAAGGCGAATCGAGGGAAACTAAAGAAGAAGATGAAGATGAAGATGAAGATGAAGATGAAGATGAAGATGAAGATGAAGATGAAGAAGAGGAAGAAGAAGAAGAAGAAGCGGTGTACTCCGAACGACCAAGCAGCAGTTCGCGCACGTACGCGCGCGTAGAGTAAGGAGACGAGCGTACAGAGGCGCGCAGAGGAGGCCAGAGTGCCTAAAGAACGAAGGAGAGAGAGAAAGAGACCTCGGTACGGGCTCTGGCAACGTTCACGCAAACCAACGCACGCATGCAGGGGTGTGAGCCACCTTTTTCTACTTGTTTTGGTTTTTCAGATGCATTTTTTTCCTGTCGTGGCATGGCTCGCGCGCCTCAAAACCCGCCAGCTCAGGCTCGCCGTGATGGGGCCCCGCTGGAATGTAGGAGGGAGGGGTCCCGCAGGGCCCTTGCGAGGCCCAAGAAGGGTCCGGCCGCGGTGGTGGGGGTACCAGTCGGACCGGCTTGTCATGACTGGTGGGAAGGCAAGAGAGTAGAGCGAGAGGGTAGCGACGGAGCCGAGTATATTCGGTGAAGGGAAGGGACGGACCCCGGACGGCGTCGGGGGCAGAGGGCGAGGGAGAGCAAGAAGACCACGCTATGCAGAAAGATCTCAAGATTAGTCAACGGACTACCCGGCAAGGACTCTCTTTGCGTGGTATTAAGGGGGTACTCTTGTCTAGATGGTTTACGAATACCGTTTTCCGATTTTTGCACTAGAGAATTTTTGCATTTTTTTTTTTTTTTTTTTTTAAAAAAAGGGTTTTTTTTTTTTTTTTTAGATTTTGGGATCGGTGGAGTTATGGGAGTTTAAAGGGTAGGTTGTGGACATAATGGCATGGGGAGTTTTACGAGAGTTTTATTAAAAACGTGGATTATCTGATTGAGTTGATTTTTGCGAAGGAATGGGGATTACTGAACCTCCTAATACGAGCTTCGATATAAATAAGAGAGAATTAATTAAATGAGCTATGAGATGATGGCAGCTGTCACACAATTTTGGGCCTAGAAAACTGGGAGAATTAGTTAATTTAGATAATAAGAGGAGACTCGATACGTACGTATCCATGTTTGTCTGTGGATTCTGAAACTAGGCACTGAAAAGTATGTGATTTCAACTATTCACAGGTAATAAATTTTAACCCTTCGCGGTCCTGAGCCGTGCTGGACCGGCCATTCCATTTCGTTCCATTCCTTTCACTTTCAGCACATAAAACATACTCTTTCGCGTTAAAGCTTAGTTTAATAGAAATATGTCAATATAAGCTGGTTACCGATATTATGTAAATATACGACCAGCTTTTCAAAGTAAGACACTGAGCATGAACTAATTGCAATAATACGTCTAATTCGAATTATAAAGTGAGCATAATTACGATATATATAAGACTACGAATTTAAATGGTCTACGACTGGACCAAGTATTATCATCATTTAATTTAATATTAAAAAAGACCGAAATACCGACAAAATAAATTCAATTTATCGATAAAAAAGTTCTTTTTTTCAAAAATTGGAAATTCTTTTTTCGAGAGGGATGTGTATAATCCCAATTTAAGTTATGTAATTGGAATATTTTATCTCTATTTTTTAACGACTGTAATAAATACTCCATTACAAATCAAGAACGATCACTTTACGTAAGATGGCTACAACACCTGTCTTAAACATATTTATAGCAATTAATAACAGTGAAAACTTGAAAGAAAATAAAAATTTCTTTTGCATTTTAAGGAATAGCTCTTTATACTCCCAAACATCTAACTCAATATACCTCGTAGCTTTCTCTTTGAAAAATTCTGTAGGATCGTTTACTTTTAGGATTGTTTCAAGAGAGGTCCCTAATAAGGTAGCTTTTCCTCTGGGCCCCTTTCCGAGGTATCGTTCATTTCGTTTATTTCGTTACACGGCTACCAGGACAGTCGATGCCGCGTCTAGGACACTTTCTCCTCGAGTGAATCTCGGCCGGGACAGCCTTTTGGATTCGCGGTAGATAGTGTCGCTGGGCCCAGTGAGAGATCCGACCGAACGGCTAGTGAAAGTATCCTTATCGCGCCGTTATCCTTTCGTTTTTCGGACTAAATTGGGTTCTTTAATTCCTTCGGCGGAAGTAGGTTCGTTGGAGGCGAAAGACGTTATTTATGTGTGTGTGTATGGGGAGAGAGGGATATCGAGAGTCACCTGACACGTGAAGCGATTTCGATGGTTCCGAATAAAAGCTGGTCTTTGAAAAATGTTTTAGTTCAAATCTGAATTTAGATCTTAGGTATAGCTGATAATATTGAATTTTGAATTTTCGAATGTACAGACCTTTGAGTTTTTGAATTTTCCAATTCGAACATTGACGAGTTTTTAAATTTTTAAGTCCCTTAACTTCGGATTTACTTCATTTTTAAATTCTCGAATTCCTCCATTTCCAAGTTTCTAAATTTTTCAATTTTCCTGCCTGTTTTCAATTTTTGAATTTCCAGACACTCGATCGTTTGAATTGTTGAATTAAAAAATATTAAACATTTTTTCATATCTATCATCAGTCAGTTGCGCAGTAATCAATCGTGGTATTTGAACGTTTATGACACACACGATGAAATATTAAAACGGTGTTTACTGTTTTATCGAAAGTAAGAAATTCCTTGTTTGTTTTTTATTCAAGAATTAAATTTCCTGCGGACTTTCCAATCTTGGATTCTGCAGGTCAACGTTAAATTACCTTGACGTTTACATAGGTTTCCTCGAATACTAAATTCGTACTTTCAACAGCCTTTACGGTGGATTTTTTAACTCTAAACTAATAGAAAATTTCATAGCATCATAGTGATTCATAGCATCAAACATAAGAGTTCATGCAATATTATTATCACACTCCTCGATATTCAATTCTTATGAACATCTACATTATGTAATTCGCATATTATTCAAAATGGCTAGCTACCAATTTCAAAAACATAAAAGGAGAAATTTTCATCTACAAACTAGCATCGAAGGATCTCTGAATAATACACATACGACCCGAATCAACACGAATCGACCCACGAGATTGCAAGAGTTAAAGTTAACCTCCTTTCTACCCATCGAACATCGAAACGTAAAACGCAACAGACTATACGTCCACATGTTACTTATTAACTTTAGAAAACCATCATTTCACGCTGGCTAGTTACCTAAGACATACTCTCGACACCACGGAAAAACACCAATTTTGCATGGAATTAAACAAACCGTCTGGAAACATTCCCCGACTCATTCGCGTCCGAGTGGTTTGCTCGCAAAGGGGTAAAAAGTCGGAAAGAGTCGAGGGTTAACGATGGTCCCCGATCGTGGCGGGTGGTGGGGGAAATGGGAGCCATCTGAACGGCGCGGATCGTGATTCGGGAGAGCGTTCGCGCTCTCGCGAAACGCAACACCTAATGACTCGCGTGAGCTTCGGTAATTCGATCTACTCCGGAGGAGGTTAAAAAGTGGCGCGCCGTAATTCGAGGCGGATACGCTACCCCGCAAGTCATTCACGATGCTCACCGGGCCCGTCCGACCACATTTCGTCCGTTAAACGATGGAACGACGGAAACGAGAGCGTCCTGAACGCGGACAGAGAGGTAGAAGAAGGAAAAGGGCCACCTCCCCGTGGCCGGGCACACCATTTACTCACCGGACAGTATTGCCAGGCCGAACAGTTCGCAGTCTCGCATGCCCTGCTGGCCGAGAAGCATGCATGTCTGTGCATACACCTCCTTCACTCTCGACTTCGCCTGAAACGACATATACGTAGCGTTAGATTTGGAGAAAGATGACGGGGTGGGGGAAAGAGCGGGACTGAAGTGGGGGGTAGAAAAGAGGGTGAGTGTGTACACTTGCTTTATAACGTTATTCCGTTAAGAGATATGTTAATTAGCGTTTAATCTATTATGCGACGAGTACATTATAGGTTAGGATTTACGCAACCCTTAATTTAAAGTATATTACGCGTATGTAAATTCTCATGATTCTAAATTTCATTATTTTTAGCCTAATTTAATAATCGTTTAAGTATACTGCAAATTATACCAATTTTTTGGAAGATTAATTCAACATCCCGAATCTTTCGTAAAATTATTGAAATATAGAGTTCACGATTTTAAAAGTAAAATTAATTCCGCGAATATGGATATAATTATAACCTAACCTAACCTAACCCTTTGCACTGGAGAGGTGAGCCTCAGTCGCCATTTAATCAAATTCCGAAGGTCGACGTTATTTAATACGTCAAATTTAAAATAACGTAACGATGTGCGGGATGTCGAAGAAAATAATTCTACGTCTTAATTTGCACGCGATTTCTTATTTACTGTTTCAAAAATATCGTCGACATTGCGAATGTCTTCGAATTGCTATTTCTCTGGAACGGAAAAATCGTCGAGTGCAAAGGGTTAAATAGAATACAATTGTCATGAATTATGTTAAACTTTTACACGGTACTCGCTGATTTTAATTTGCCAATTGCACGCTTGCTTAATCTCGCTCGATTACTCGGAAATACCGAATGACGGCAGAATTTTCGGAAAAATATACTCTCCGCCGTATATTTTACGCGACATGATATATAATTCAATTATTCCTTCTCTCGAATATGAAGGAAGGAAATAACGAACACGCGTTCCTCGTCGTTACGATTTAATAGGCTATCGTGCCATCTAAATCGATAAAATCCAATATATGCACACGAGAGCTGTATAAAACACCGTACGATTATCGATAAACGATTTCCAACGAAAACACAACTATCGATCGAGGGAATCTGCCATACGAGCAATCAACGCTCGTATGTTCATCGCGAAACGGAATGGCCTGCCCTTCGTGGAGACGTCGCGACGCACGTGACCGGTAATAGAGCACGCGTAATGAGATTGTATCGCTCTCGAAACCCTTGTCCGACATCGGCCCCTTTATGTAATTACGAATTTACACCGGCGAAATGGTCGTGCACAAATGATTTCGTTTCAAGGTGGACTTGTTGATGTCGAGGTGCAGTCATCGACATCGTAGCCGGCTAAAGGAAGAAGGAAAATGAAAAGAAAGGAAAAAGGAATAGAAAAATACGAGAAAAAGGAAACGCACGAGCATGGAACGTGGAATATATTAAAAAGAGTGGTCAAGGATCTGGCTATGAATTTTGTATGTTGAAACAAGAAAAAGGCTAATATTAATACGCGGTTAACTTCAAATTGAATATTATTTTAAGATGCGAGATGTCGCTTGTGATTCGCGGGAATCCGATCCTCCTACTTTCGCCACCAGAGGGATGCTCGGTGCAACGCGTTTCTCCAAAGTACTTAAACGCTGAATCTATTATAACTGAATAATTAATCAGTAAATAAAACGTATGATTCCTGAAAGAAAAGAAGAATTCTTTGTATCTTATATTACAAGAAAAATGAAATACTTCAAATCCTAAAAAACTTTTAGGTTATGTTGGTAAATTGTTTCAGCCCTTAATATTCACCCGTTTCATACCGTTGAAAAGACAAGTTTAGTTATATACAGAAATCAATCTAGGATATACGGTGTCAATAAATAGTTTATAAAACCTAGATTTCGAGAACCGATATTTATATAAACATCAGATAAGAATTGGGGGTTAGGCGGACCGCGTCACGCACCCTCTTAACGATCAGTCGCTCTAGAGAAGCACTCGAAAATAGATATACCTTCCTAGATAGTAATAAAAGAATTTAAAAGAGAATATATATATATCGTAGTTACTTTGCAATCATAAACCCATAATCCCAAAACATAAATAATCTTCTTAATTCTGATCCGATATAGTAATTAATACATATTAATGTTTCTATTTCCTTCTTCTCTCCGCTAATAATATATTCCAATGTCATAAACGAATCTTATGGATTTCGAGTTATTAAAACTTTTCAAGTGTTTGTACATACGTACATATGTTCACTGATGAATATTATTAACGCGAGCTACATATGTAATTGAAAGAAATGGAAAAAATGATTTAATGAAGGAAGTCGTTTATCCAAAGCTTCGATTTACGTCTTTGACACACCCTCCACCATCGACGTATCTACCCGCAGATCCGAGAGATCGATTAATATCGTTGCACCATTCATGGTTAGATCGGCGCGCGTAATACGAGACGGAAATTTATGTACCGTTTATACACGGATAGCTTTAAACTTGCGGTAACCCACATTCTAGAGAAACCGGAATCCCTTGCGTAAACGACATTAGCGTTAACCCATTTTATGCGCCTTTTTGACAGACGTTTACGTACCTATCTCTCCGAACGATTCTGTTCGAAAGAGGAACGAGAAACCGTAACCAGAACGGGGAACATAAAATTCGATATTAATGACATATTTATGCCTCGGAATGTAATCGCTATACCAGCGAAATAAACATAGTTGACGATTCGAGATGACGCTGAAAACGATAATCCTTCCGTTGTCTTCAGGCGACCATAGTCCTCCAGTTTCGTACCCTAACTAGAATCACGCGTGTAGCACGAAAAAGTGCTACAAAATCCTGATTGAAAATTTGATTTTCCAAATCAAAAAATTCTGAAAATCTTCGCCAAGAACCAACGTGGATTTACCTGACAGTATTGCGTAATGAAATTTCTTCTCTCCGTGTAGACAGGTATTAGTCACTATCTATAGAACATGATGCAACAACCGAGGTATTTGAAGATGTATTCTTTATTACGGTAATAGTAATAAACCGACGAATCTAACGAAATTCGAAGAAAATGGTACCCCTGGAAATGGTAAACCTGTCTAGGCATGTATCATTGACCTATAGCAATAAGTTAACGAATATATAATGAAATTTTAATACACTGTTCGACGAAAATGGTACCTCGAAAAATGGTAAAATGGTAAATCTACATATATCACTGGCAGCAACTAGGTTCTAATAGTAAGTTGACGAATATAATGAAATCCTAATACACTGTTCGACGAAAATGGTACCTCAAAAAATGGTAAATCTACTCCCGCATATGTCACTAGCAGCAACTAGGTTCTAATAGTAAATTGACAAATATAATAATATCTTAATACACTGTTCAACGAAAATGGTACCACGAAAAATGGTAAAATGGTAAATCTACATATATATCACTGACAGCAACTAGGTTCTAATAGTAAGCTGACGAATATAATGAAATTCTAATACACAGTTCGGGAAAAAGTATATAAATCTATCTTTACACATACCGATATACCATTCCATAAGTAGTAAATCCTATAATAATCAACCTACGAATTTAACGAGATTCGAATACAAAATTCCAACAAAATGGTACTTGGGAAAATGGTAAATCTGTTTTATGACTAACGATTCATTGGCCCTTAGTGAAAGTAGGAATGAGTCAATTGTTTTTGGATTGGAAGGACCAGGCCCTTCTAGTGACTTGTAAGGGCCAACGAATCGTTAGTCATCCAACAAATCTATCTGTGCATATACCGATATACCATTCGGTAGAGGATAAATTCCGTAATAATAAATTGACGAATTCAACAAAGTTATATATTGTTTAAAGGACGTCAGGATTCATACGCGATGTTCGGTGAACATGGACTTAATCGAGAAGTTGGACACGTAGCGCGGACTATGCGATTGGGTTTCGAAAAAGTCATCATCGGATGTGTTCCGTCCCGGAGAGCGTGTTTATAACATAATTCTATTCTAGGGCTTACACTTTTAACAGACCTAACGGTTTATTTTATATTTTATAACGCGACTGCAATTCCGGAGGTTCGATGTGCCTCAACGCCGTTCTAGCGGATTAAGCTTATAAAGGTAAAGCAAAATTAGGAATTTTACTTTTACCAGACGCGACAGATGGGGCCCACTTGTGACAGACCCAACAAGCGACGGACAGACGGCACTTATAAATCACGTCATTGACCATCAGAAATCGGCTCCTTGACAGTTTCCTACTCCTTAGCCAAAGGTCCTTATGTCACACCCTCTGTCCAATTAAAACTCTTTACCTTTCCACCACCAACATCTATTTTACCCAATCAGAACTAAACTAGAGAAAACACCGGACCGAACACGACGAGACAGGACATAGAGCAAAATCGAGAAGTCAGTTCGTCTTCGGCACCGATCCTTCAAACATCTAAATTACACGTACAAACGCGTGTTCGAAACGGTACTCCGTTAACGTCTACGTTATAACTATTCTACGCTTTTCTGTAAATAAACACTCTCTTTTAACCACACGCATTCTGGATCCTTATTATCACAACTAGTCGCGCAATATTAATTTGGCGCGTGATAAGCGTTCTTGGAAATCGAAGAAATTCGATACCGTAGGACGCTACAGGATGACAGTCAGTGGTTTTATCACTCCGTCTAGTAACATGCACGCTGGCATTCTGCAGCGCGCGCGCATGTAATAACAATGCGTGGATGTATGAATATTGCAAACGGTGAAAGCGTACCACATACCAGACTCGTTACAACCGTCTCGTGGTAGCTCGCAGACGCAGCTATGCTCCGTGGTGCCATACGCCGGGCGAAGAATGTACCGGGGACGTGATCAGAGTGACGCGATACACCTCGCTACATAGGACGAGATAACAACTGCCAGTACTCTTCAATTGTCTTCGGTACTTTTGTAGAGAGGAAGAAGATTTATTATGCCAGGGATTATTCCTCGCGATCGTAACATCTTAATACGGTGCGTCGGTTAATCTGCTGGCCGTATGAGTCGCGGCTGATCGAGTTCAATTACGTTCCG